GATTGGGGAGCCGTTTGGGGAACATCTGTAACGGTTCCCGTTACAATTAGCACTAGTTCACTTTAACATTATATGTCTGAGGGTTGTGTAGATTCTCCACTGATTTATTGATTTACGATTATTTTCTGTGCATACCCTCTCAAACTATAGTGATTTAGCGCTGCGCAATTTCACAGCCATTCCACCTATTCCAATGTGCTTCATGTTTAAAGTATGCTTTGTCTTCTGTGAAGCATGTGATGTTGTGGTCCATGTTTTTTTTCCTGGTGCAACCACTTTGTCCATGGAAGGTGGCTTTTTCGAGGCACAGGAAGACTTCTACAGATCTGTCTGAGTACTATTTGTATGATCATGTGTAAAATTAAAAAGAAAACGGCCTGGAATCTTGTAAATTGTCATTTGATATGATTTGTAAACCAAGTCCTTCCAAATGGGAGCTCTAGGAGGCATGATATGATTGATTGATTGTATGTTGTTTTACGTCCCATTCGAGAATTCTTTTACTCGTATAAAGACGTCACCATATGTCGGTGAAGGGCTTCAAATTTAGACCTATACTCGGCACTCGGGGCTATTGAGCAGTGAGGGTTCTTTATCGTACCAACGCGTACCGTGACACTGGGTTTCGATTTTTAAAGTCTCCGAGAGAGATCCGCAACATTCACTTCGAAGTACCAATAGGTGTCGAGTTACTACCTATTTTTTACCGACTTAGGTCAGTCGCAGCCAGGGTTTGAACCCACGGCTTCCCATCACGCTCTCTTATAATGATATGCAATTCGCAGCTATGTTAAGGCTTCCCGAAGCTTTAAAATGCGCTCAAAACATAATATGTCATTGCGAGATCGGTTTTGGTTTTAATTTATAAGTATTTAACTTTAGTACTTCCAATTTATATAAAGGGTTTCCTCGGTTATATATTAGCATATTTGTTATGATATCACATGAATTTGTTGATCACGTGACGGCCATTTATAATTTTTTGAAGTGTTTCATATAAATCGCTTCGGCGCAGCTGATTAACACAATAATTATTAACATTTTGTTGTATAAATAAACTCATCGTATCCTTGTGTATCCGAAATGTGCTTGGGAAAAATCATAGAATTATTTGGGTACAAAATATTTCCTGAGAAATTCAACTTACTTAAAAATTTGAGGGTATTTTCCACACAATATCGTAATCTGTATTAAAACAAAACCAACACACATTTTTCCCAAGCAAGATTCAGTTAGAGAACAACCTCTTCTTACAGATTTCCACAAAAATTCTCAGATTAATCCTTATTAATCACCTGCGCCAGACTCTTTTATACATACAAAATAAATTCTACCTCCAACCACGGGTATAAAACAGAGTACATTTCAAAAGTATATTTTTCATAAGCATTATGAACATGATGAATTTCAATCAAGGGTAGGTAAGCGGTGTATTTTTAAAATATTCGGACATATAAGACTTAAAAAACCTTTAACGATCCGTGAATTTTGTAATAGCTATCTAGCATTTTCCATGCAGTATGAAATAAAGTGTAAAGTTCATGACACTCTCCCCGTCATAACACCTCATGTTTGCAGTGACCTGACGTCATTTTCCATTATGACGTCATATTTTGGTAGTTCAGAGATGTGAAGGCACAGAGTGCACTGTCATATTGTACGGGAAGCCTTAACCTACCTAAGTGAGTCCAGAATCATATCACAGACACTTGTCATCTACACTTTCTTTATTTCAAATATACACTTCTTTTCTCTAAAAAAAAAATCTGAAAAAGAGACAAAGATATGTGAAGTACTAAAGTTCTGATAATTTTTGCTTTATTGTAACACAATGAAGACATATCGATAGAGAAGTGAAGATCAATTAACTTAAAGCTGACAACGTAAAATACAGTTTTAAAAGCTAAATATCACTGTCTTCATGAAAAAAATTGTTTCTTTGAAAATTTTTAAAGCATAAAACGGTTGAATTTTAAGATTTACTGAGTGTAATAGAGTGACTAAGAACTCAGCTCCTTGTGTACAAGGTATTAGAATCTGGAAGTAATCCTTGATTGCATTCATCAGATGTACAGCAAAAGTGACAGGAGTAAGCGTCATTAACCACAACTTTGCCAAACTGAAAGCAATGTTTCTGTTCTGAAGTCTGGGATAACCACTGGGTTCTGCAGACTGTCTCATTCACGCACCTGTTGCAAAACAGTACAATAAGTATTCCGTGATTCAATGAAGCATCTTTCTAAGATATTTTAAAACACAGGGCACTGACCTCTTGAAAACTTTTTCCTTTCCGGAGCCGTCAGAGGTTATATCTGTCATGCAGAAATCTTTTCCTGTCTCACATTCTACATTTGGTCCAATGTATATACTGCGAATGTCGCATGGTACTCCATTCCCATAATCACCACAAACCTTACAAGTTCGCTGTCTTAAACCTGATCAATTTATAAGGGCTAGGATCCTTTAATGCACCAGGAGTGATATGATTTTAAAAATTAAATTACTGAAATGTCTTCTTTTTTTTTTTTAATTTTTGTTAATTTAATCGGGAGATTCATTTGTTTAAAAAAAACTTCTATGGACGATGTTTCTTAATACACACCCGTTAGTTCAAATTTCTTCCGCAGCTTATTATGAATAAATTAAAACATCATTCAATAGTAAAGCGAAGATTACTTTGAGAAGTACTTGAAATTGTGGCATTTGGAGACATCGCAGGTGTTCCTATTGTTGGCGAGTTTACATGTGGTGTTTGTGATGTAGAAACTATTTCCTTCAGAGTGGCAGTGACAGTATCTGTAAAAGTCGACAGTGATGCAGTCATACTTCATACAGAGAATGACGAGATTCGTTGAAGGTGCCTTTGATTTTTTGTTGTAATGATGTGAGTAACCATTTGAAAAAAGACTGAAGTTAGATTTGTTTCATCAGTACTATATATAATGATTTACTTTACAGCCTTCATAACGCATACAGAAAAATAAATGCAATTTATCATGATTGAGCATCTGATTATATTGAAAAAAAAACTTTTAAGTAGTCACTACAGCATTTGTGATAAATGCTACAGAAGTTTACAAAAATGATTGCATGATGTTTTAACGGGTTATTCCTGCTAAAGTATACAAGATAATTCTTTTAAAAAAATCAAACAACCGCAAAGAAATCACTCGATTGTGACGTTGCCCCTCACATTTTTGAACGTGCAAACCTTTTGAATTTTAATTTTTTCCATTTGATCTGTATTTTCAAACAGCTAATCTAACTGAAAAACATTTCGTTTTGTTTTTATGATTTGATTATTATTATTTTGGTTTGCTTTTGTGACATTTTTGACTTAAAATTGTCAAAACGAGCTATCTCATGCAATCATCTTTGATTGATTGTTTGATTGTATGCTTTTAACGTCCCGTTCGAAAAATTTACTCATACAGAGACGTCACCATATACCGGTTAAGCGCCTCATTTAGACCTATATTCTACACTCAGGGCCATTGAGTAGTAAGGGTTTTTTTATCGCAGCAATGCCTACCGTGACAAAAGACCACGGTTTTTAAGTTGTCATCCGAAAGACCCGTCACTTTCATTTCTAATGCCGGGCGCTTGGCGAAGGAACAGTTACTACCTCTATATAAGTTTACATCTTAGGTCTGACGCAGTACGACGAAGGAGAATCGAATCCGGGTTACCCGATCACCAATCATAATGATAGTTCATAGATATTACAATGACATGGAAAATTACTTCTAGAAAAAAAAAATCAGAGTGTTAAAGACATGCATAGGAAAGAATGACGGTTGTTTTGTGGGCTTTCTACTTGTAAGAAGTTTTTTTCTTAAAATTTTTATGAAATTACATAAAATTCACAATTAATACAAATGCCTGACAAAACAGCAGGTCAATTTTTTTATCATGTCAAGCCCCCCCCCCCCCCAACTTACAAAAAGCATATAGAATCTAGTTTTCAGAAATAATCCCCCTTGTCACTTTTGATTGCTGACATTTTTCAATTTCAAAGTTTCAAAATTACTCACAAACTTCTTTAGAACGTGTTTGGTAATTGAATTGCTTCTTAAATAAATCAAGAGGAAATTCAAATTAACACAAATTTTGATTTGCAATTAAAATAACTAAGTGATTACTTATGAGGGTCGTTCAATAAGCAATGCAAAAGGTTATCAAAAACTTTTTTTTGGATTTTTCATCCCTCAGAGTATTCCCTGTTAACCTTTACAATGTCTCAAGTCTCTCTACCCATAATCGGAACACCTCAGCACAATCTTTTGGGGTTCATAAAAAGACACTGATCGATAGCACTCTTCAGGACAGAACTGGAATAGTGGCGTCTTCCTTTGATGGTTTTCTAGAATTTTTTTTTAAGAATAAAAATATGTCACAATGACTGAGATCTAGTGAATAGGGGATTGGCTAAGCTCTGTAAACAATCTTTTCTTCAAAATTTCCTTTACGTCTCTATGCTTATCTGCAGCAGCATTGTCAAAGTACGAGAAAGTCTCCCTGGGACCGGTATTTGGACTTTCAAACCTGCTTATCTTTCCCCTCAATGTAATTTTAACATACAAGCTTCCATTGTTGGTCTTTCCTTTGAGTGCAGGTACATGTATTACTGGACCTCTCGAGAAAGAAGAAAACTATGTAAGCCCTGTTTGGAGCGGTGACTTTCTTTGCAATTATAGGAAGACAGCTTCCTCTCTGATTCCACATTTTATTATCGATCTTCATTAGGGCCATAAACAGTGCACCCGTGTTTCATCACCCATCACGCGTTTTTATCATACCTTTCATTTACCTCAATGTAAATATATATAGATCTTGTTTTTAATACACACATACATGTACCCATATCAGTCATATGCTGCTATTTTTCATTATTTTCTTCAAATAAAGTATTGAATTAACATTTTGTTTTAAATAATGTTTTTATCACAAAAACAGGACAGAGAATATTTGGTGAAAGAATATTCTTGAATTCATTTTTTTCATCTTCTCACGGTGACCATGTGTACTTGTTTAAGAGAAGTTGTTAACGTTATCCACCAATTTGTGGTAGTTGTTGGTGCTGCAGTAGTCGTTGTTGAGGTGCTTGGGATAGTTGTCGATGCTGAAAATTATTACATTGTACAGCCTGCAACCATGGACCTTATTACACAACATTCTCTGTAGCATCGGGATTGCTTATCGTGTACACTTCGCCAAAATGTATTTTTAAAATCCTTAATCACTAATTATGTAAGATGGAATTAGTTTGTTTAATCTTATTACTTGATAACTACAGAGTTCCAAGGAACGCATGTGTCACCCTCAATAGCAACATTAATTTCAAAATACTAAGCTAAAATGTGCGGGTTTTTTTAAAGTGTGTGCATTTCTTTTAAATTTACAAATTAATATAATTTATTTAAAGAAAAAAAATTCAAGGATAGTAGGATTGCAATCTAATAGTATTTAAAAAAAAAGTCACAATCAAATAGGAACATGATCATTCAACTCTCAAATCTGAAAATACTGTGAAATTACTCATTTTCGTGGGGATTTAATTTTCGGTGTGTGTGTGATGAATAGGGCCACGAATTCAGGTCCTCCACGACATGAGCATTTTCACATACATAGCGACTTCTTCATGCACGAAATAAATCCCACGACCAATATTTTCAAATCTCAAACAGCTAAAATTTGACCCCACGAAATATGTGATTTTACAGTAAATAACTCAATTGAAATTATCATAAATCATTTACAAAATATGTATTAATCTTCCTTGCAGTTATTTTGCTTTAGTAAGTCCCCTTTATGGCCCCTGGTTAAGAATGCAGAAGGTGCACAGTTCATCATCAAAAAGTTGTTGTCATCCCTGTCACAAAATGATTATTAGTTTTTGGTCATAAGATAAACAAAGGTCACAAAATATGGCATTTCCAAAATTTTATCATCTTGGAGCAAATTTTCATCAATTTTAAAGTATATTTTGTTTCAGAAAACATGCTTTGCCTATCTACAAAATTTAATACATGTACATGTATTTCATGCACTAGTATCAAATGCATCTCAGAATAGGCCAGCTTGTGCTCTATGTTCCCGAAGTTAAAAGTTACTCAAATTTGACAAAAATCCATCAGAATAGAGGAAATTCGGTATCATTTTAAGTTCTTAAATGCAAAGTATCACAATTGTAACTGCTTTGATTTTTATATCAAATAAGGGCCAAATTCGGCCGTTACCATACCTTTAAACTAAGTCCGTAAATTGATCCCCCTTTTTATGCAACTAACGAAATTCATTAATATTTTAGTTTGTTTGTTGAATATTTACATATTTCCAACTGTTTTCACTGAGATAACTCTTTGAAAGTTAAGTGTGTTGAATTTCTCGATATTTACAATTGAATGTAAATTTCGCGAAGTGAAAGGTCAAGTGCCTAATATGCATTTTGTCTGACATCAGTGGGCGGGGAATATGGAAATTAACATGGAATGCTTCGTGTATTTCCAATTCTTTTAAACAGAATTTTTATTTATATTTTTAAAAATTTTCACCACAAACTTAAGTGTAAAAATATATAAGGCATCAATGTGTAGTTTGCAGGGCATGCCAGGAACATTACCGACAGCTGGAAACGTGGAATAATCTATGCATAACGGACTTCGCCGTAACCTCAGCAGACTTATCTTTCAAAGGTAACAAGGTATCCATAATAATTTACAAGGTCATTGTTTCATGCAATCCCCAGCACAGATTAATCTCTAAAGTGTCAAAGATTGTGTATATCGGCACTATGGTGTATTCTTAAAAGTACGTCAAAGGTCTCGATAATTATTGTAATTTACATAGGCCATTGCTCCAAGCAAAACTTGAGCAAAATCCCCAACTCTAGCCATTCTTAAAATAGGAAGAAAGGCAAAGTGATCCCTAAGTGTCGCTCTTCCCTGCAGGAAGACAATAAATCAAGCATGTATAAAACACAAATAGTTTGAAAGAATTGATTTTGTTGAGAGTTTCTACATTTTGAAGACTTTGGTAAGGGTTGTGATATTGATATTTTGCTGATTAATCCCTAAAAAATGAAAAGCCTCTGTAAATAAACTCACCAGGACAGTGTTGAGCATTGCATAATGAAGACTGCAAGGAGTCTCCTACGCATGAACCGATGCGGCAGGCCCTATATCTTATCCGTAGACCACCCCCGCAGGTCTTGTCACAGGCCGAATATTGTCCCCACGGACCCCAGTCACCTTCGAATATAAAACAAATTCTTAAAAGTATCTATTTTAAGTTTAACTAGATATTCTAATAATGGTAGATTTTCGATTTGCTTTCTTATTTTGGAAATACTTTTATCCTAAATGACTAGTATTTCAATAAAGTAGATCAAATAAACTTTTGAATCTTGGATCTGCTAAAGAAAATATTCAACAGACAATTATTTCTAAAATTAACAAATGTATAATGTTAGTAGTATATATACGAGAAAAATTTGCCACTTATGCGAAGTATTATATGCTCCCACATGTGGATGGGTTGTACGTACCCAAAGAGTGTCCTTAGCAGTTTCTACAACCCCACTCTAGCTACGAATACTTGGTAGTTTATTGGTATGTATAAATTTCAAAATCTATATTTATTAACTTTTGATGGTCTTTCAACAATCTAGCTATTCTTCTTGCTAATAGACAAAGTTAATTTAAATACTGATAAACTGGTAATCAAACAAGCAAATTTAAAGAATTGTGGCCCCCCGCTTTTGCTGTCTAAGTGATGGGGATGCAATAATCTATGGAATGTTGTAACTGTCTTGTTTGTGTTTCCTGTCTTGTCTGTGCATCATATAAAAAATATATCAAATATTGAATTCATAAAAGTTATGGTAAAGCATAAAGCTTCTCAAAACTGTATCAAACTTCAAGATCAGGGCCATGAGGTCAAATATCGTATTACAATCCGAAAGGTCTTCTCACAAATAATTAGCGTCTCTCAAATGGTGACTTACATTCTCCTTGGTTGCTATCTCATCAATATTCCTAACATAAATGTAGCACAAACAAGTAGAATGAAGTGAGTTTGAATTATTTTGTATTATTTTATACAAGTAGAAAAAAAACGCGAAATTGTGAAGTGTTCATCATTTCTTTCCGCGTGTTTTCTAGTTTGCAATAAGCATGAGATAGAGTTTTTATGTCAATGGGATTTAATTTTTAATATTTTCTTTTTTCGATGGCAAAAAAAAAAAAAAGTTCCTCGAGTGGGAACACTTACGCTGGAAATATATTAAAAGCGTAAAGGAGTAACACTTTGGCGAATGGTTTTCATTGCAATTGGTCGAGAAGAAAAAGTAAGCTAAGTCAGAGCAGTGCTCTATTCGTAGCACAGGCACTCGGCATTCTAAACCTTTCTCTATATTGATAAAAGTACCTCCATACTATAGTAATAAAATTTAGTATGATAGTATTTTTATCAATAAAGAGAAAGGTTCAAAACGTCAAGTGCCTGTGATTGTAGGACTCGAAAAATTAAAAAAAAAAAAAAATTACCCACTTTATGTAGAAATTATGGCCTTTGGGTCATTTTTCTCCGTGTGGATTGTAGAAAATTGACCCCGTAGAATAATGACCCTGACGCAAGTGTCATTTTTTGATACTAATAATACTAAAAATACTGGTCTTACATCCATTAACCGAACCATTTCTGAAAGGTGCTAGATTTATAATAAAGATGAATGACATTAACATTTGTGAAGAAAGACAAGTAGAAAATGTAAATATAAGCATTGATTCTTAATTTTTTTTTTACGTCGTCTGTCGTACGTATAACAGCACCTGTCCGTGCCTACAAAATCCATACCGCACTAACGCGCGGTATTCAATTTGTCGGTACGACCAGGTACTGCTATACGACTGACGACATCCAAAAATAAGAATGATAAACGAATTTTGTAATACCTGCGGAGGAGGTGGTGGTTTTAGACTGTAAGCAAACAACCTGGCAAGTTTGGGTTTCCCTGCCATACATCGGACACTCAGTTGAAAAACGCATAAATCCCATAATCCAGTGATGGCATCCCCGTGTTCGATACCGAGTACCCTGTATTCCACATAATCCTGAACATGAACTCCAAGACCCCCATATTTCGAATGTGGTTTGCATTTTAACAAATGTCTCGACATCAACTAAAAAAAGTCAAAACGTCAAATTTTTAAACAGTCTTATTCATAAAAGTAGTTCTTTGATTTGCTCACAAATTTGCTACACAATCGAGTATGTAAGTAGATCAATGATTTTATTTTAATAGGTGTAATAATAATGGGTGTACAACGGAAAACAGATAATAAATGATATTTTACATTTTTATGAAATTCAATTCCTAGTTAATGTTATGATTTGTAACATTAATATAGACCATTTTATATCTTGGAATAACTGATCTAATAAATACGATCATAACAGATGCATAAATATATATAGCCTGTATCAGCTCGAGACACCAATATCCAGAGGACCTTCGGCTCTCGGGCTGATACAGGATGTGATACAGCACAAATGCAAAGAGGTAATCACTGACTATCTTATTATATCAAAGAACAGTAATTTCAAATTAAGAATATGAACGAACAAGATGTGTTTGTGAAACACTGATGCCCCCGTATGACAACTTATAGCAAAGGTTAAACTTTCTCAAATGCAAATCAAATATAGTGGTACCCAAAGTAAGGTCTTGTCTCGAGGAATATACCTGTGAAATATGAAAGCCCTAGCAGCAACCATTGAATAGATATGGAAAAGGTTAAAGTTTTTCAAAAGTAAGTCAAACATCAAGGTCAAGGTCAAATGGTCAAAATTAATGGTGCCTAAGGAGAGGCCTTCTCACAAGAAATATACAGGTGAAATATGAAAGCTGAAGGTTAAAATTTTCCAAAAGTAGGTCAAACTCCAAGGTCTAGGTCAATGGATTACAATTGTTGGTATCTAAACAAAGGTCTTTTCACAAGAATTACATATGCTAAGTATGAAAGCCTTAGCACCAACCGTTCAAAAGTTATGGCCAATGTTAAAGTTTTTCAAAAGTAGGTCAAACTCCAAGGTCAAGGTCAAAGTTGTTGGTATGCAAAGGAAGATCTTGTCACAAGGATTACATGAAGTATGAAAGCCTTAGCACCAATTATTCAAAAGATATGACTAAGGTTAAAGTTGGAAAAATTTTGCAAAACTAGGTCAAACTCCAAGGTCAATGTCAAAAGGTCAAATATGGTGGTACCCAAAGAAAGGTCTTGTCACAAGGAATACACATGTGAAATATGAAAGCCATAGCTCCAACCAATCAAAAGTTATGGGCAATGTTAAAGTTTTTGCAGACATACAGACAGCACGACAGACAGACAGACGGACGGACAGGGCAAAAACTATATGCCCCCGAATCTTCGATACGGGGCATAAAAAATAGGTGTAATTTTACAAATACTGATTATTTAGGTTAAATCTGCAAGGGTCACGATGGGTGTCATATTAATCCGTATTATATATTTGTTATATAAGGCCATCATTAAAAATATCTTTGTTTCCCCTTACCCGACCCTAAAATCTCGAGTTCGGTAGGTACAGGTAGGTAGGTAAATAATTTGTTTTCTGCCAGCAGCTTTGAAAATATATTTTGAAATTTAATGGACTTAATACCTTTATAAATAAGAAAAAGTACAAAAGAAAGCGATTTGTAAACAGAATATCATGCAAATGCCATTTAAAAGCAAAATTTCAGGTAAATTAATAAACAACTATATTCAGTTGAATAGTGAAATTTCTCAAGCCATGCAAAGTAAATCTTTTGAAATCGAATTAGGAATATTAAATGCATATTAAAGATAAGATTCTCAGATACGCAAATACCGGACATCCGAGTATCAGTTTTCAAACCAGTGCGTACATATGCAACGTACTTTTTCAAGGGCTCGAATTATGCAGTGGTTCTAGAACATTTCGTTTTGGAGTCCCGATTGATTGATTGATTGTATGTTGTTTAACGTCCCTCTCGAGAATTTTTCACTCATATGGAGACGCCACCACTTGCCGGTGGAGAGCTGCATATTTTGTCCTATACTCGGCACTTACGGCCATTGAGCAGTGAGGGATCTTTTTCGTACCAGCACCTACTGCGACACGGGACCTCGGTTTATACGGTCTCATCCGAAGGACCGGTCTCCACGTCCCACAGTGGGATTCGAACCCGCGACGTAAGGATCGACTCCTTACTTCGCTACTCTAGAGCAGACGCTCTAACCCGAAGCAAGGAGCTAGTTCAAAGTCACAGGTTCAAATCCCAATGCAGGACGTTGAGACCGGTCCTTCGAATGAGAGCGTAAAACGTAGGTCTAGTGTCGCAGTAGATGCTAGCACGAAAATGATTCCTCACTGCTCAATGGCCAAAAGTGTCGATTACAAGACTAAATTTGGAGACCTTCACCGGGCAAATGTTCAAATCATAAGTATTTTCATCCCAACAATTCTAAACGGGATTTAAAACAAAGAAACAACCAATCTTAAGGGCCTTATGAAAACAAAATACACTACACGTCTCAGAAAGTTGTATCATGATTTCAAAACTATTTGGAAAGAGTATGTAAACAATATTTAATTGAACCAAACCATATCTAAATTTTATAAAAATACCATACACAATGTCAAAGTCACGAAGTTTAACCCCTGAATTAAAGGCATTTAGAAAGGACGTCTGAATTATTTTCACAGGATGAAATATGCCGACATGTTTACAACAACTCGTATGGTTCCGTATAATAAACATAGGAACATAGATGAACTGTTTGTTAGATCAAAACTCAAATTAAGTTATATGTAGTGAAATTGATTAATATGTTCACAAGGTGCAGAGGTGGGCCCCTCGTATGCTCATGAGGCGGGTTTTACGATGCTTGCTAGTACGTACCTTTATTTTTTAAAGACAGGTTTGTAAATAGCACTGAAAACTCTTAGTCATGGTAATTATTATTAACGAATTGTTTCAAGAGTGTGGGATTCTAATAAGCTAAAGGCATAAGGTTGATACGTCGCCGTTGATTAATAACAGGAACTGTGACTACATGTTGTGGACACCATTTTGTTTCCAACAAACGCTTGAAAATCATAATTTATAACAAAATCTGCCGTTCTGATAAAAACTAACTTTTCATTCGGCGCAATTTTATTGGGTCGGTCGCGTTAGGGGAAACAAAGGTATTTTTTTTTATTTGGGCCTAATACAGGATTTTTTTTTTTTTTTTTTTTTTTTTTTAATTTTTTTTTTTGCATCCCTGATATTAACACAGGCACACGCTCTGTATTACACACCCTGCATCAGCAGTCAGTACCCTTTATTTCACCCTTTATCACATCCTTTATTTCACCTTTCCGGAACATCTCTTTTCCTATTGTTTTGAAGATTAAAGATATTTTATGTTATTCAAAATAATTATTTGTTTAATTTATGATTATTTCATTTCTTATCGCTGAATACATTGCCTTTGAAAAACAGTGAGAAACGGAAATTCAACAAAAACAGAACACATTCATTTAATAAAAATTCAGTCATTAATTTACAAGTTTATATATTTTTTCTGATTTTTTGACACTAATTTCAAATATATAATAAAAACAACAATACATGATATCACACCCTATCAACCCTCGACCAATATCAGCCCTCCGGCCTTCGGGCTGATATTGGAGTCTCGGGTTGATATGGGGTGTGATACAGATTTTTCCATGTAGTATTCTCTGCAGGATCTCTATCAGCCCTGGAAGCTGATACGGCTATCGTGGCGTCAGGCATTTCGCATATGCAAATTAAAAACTGTATTTATTACTAAGTATGTAATAAATATCAATATCATGGTAAAGTTCCAGATATAAGCCCTTTTACAAATCTCATGTTTTCGAAACTTTTTACTTAAGACTTTCATGCAACAAATGTTTAAAGCAGTATGAGCTGCATTTTTGAAAATTTTAATTTGCTGTTAAAATGTGCTGTTATGATAAATCTCTATGTAATTTAATCCTTTATGATCAATTAGACTAGAATGAAGTTGTTTTTTTTTTCAGAAGAAAGATTTCTGTACAATGGAATGTATAAGAAATCAATATTGTACAGGACGACTATAATGTAATTTTGCTTCAATCAAAGCTTATAGATAGTTCTTCCATCGCAAATACGAACAACAGAAGTTTATAAACGTTCTTTTTTCTGTCGTTGAAATAGTTAATTACAATTTTGCAACAAATATTTCCCACATGAAAATTGCAGCTCATATTGCTTTAATTGGAGACAAATATATCAGGTGAAGTCTGTTCTTTGCTTAAAGATAATGAATCTGAGTGTCAACAAGTGTGGATGGGAGACATGACGTTCTATCATTGAAGTAAGTTTAAAATATACTTACAAAGAAATCTCTTCTCTGCAAAAGGTTAAAATGACCAATTAAGAAAGCTTTGGTGGACATTCTAATTAGACCAATAAATTGGATATTTTTGGATTGAATATTACAGTTATTTTTAAAGTTTTTTTGGTAATTGAAGGTACATGAGGAGAATTTTGTTCCATTCATCCGATTACTGAAAACTATTCTGTGTATGTCGCAGATCACACTTACCAGCCAGACTCAGTGAGGAAAGAGAGACCACAAGGATCAGAACTGTAGGGTGAATAGCCATGTCTTCTACACAAAGAACAGAGTTCAAAGCAGGTTTCACTGCGAACGTGAATATGTTATCAGCAGGAATATATCTGAACACAAAATCGAGGACTTTTATGTTTGCCCTTTCTGTGACTTATTTAGTTGTACCAAACATACACTCTGCCCTTTTGTCATTGCATGCGCAATTTTAGAATTATTTTCAATCTATATGGAAAACTATCTTTGATTATCAATGTCTGGTTAAAAATTATAACGATCACAAATCCAGCATGACCTTGTTAGTCTTTATCTAGAATAAGTTAAGTACAGTTCCACGAAACAATCAGGCAGCCTATATATAAAATGTGATATATGGGGGGTTCTCAGAAATTAATGATTTTTCACTCACAGTTTTTTCTTGGTCTATAAGCTGTGTATGTAGAAGGAAAATATTTTGGGTTATTGTTACTATGGAAACCTGGACAAAGAAATTACCCTAGCAACCGCCCAATTTTTCTTTGTAGATTGACGAAATTTCACTCATTTTGAAGGCTTTATAAGAAACGTAAATATAGTGATTTTTTCTCTTATTTAGTGTAATAAGAAAGATACATTTTTAAAGTGTTCTGTCAACATAATAAAAAGAAATTACATTCTCTAATATATTTGCTATAGACACAGGTAAAGATACATGTTTCCCATTTTTTGCTGATTCAGCATTTTGCTTGATTTTAGCAAAAATCAAGTCAATATTATTCATTTCACCATCTTAATACAACTGTTTCATCTATTTCGTGTAAAACTACAGGAAAGCTTCTCTAAGAATTTGAAATAAAAAGTTTTGCAAATTTGAAAATTCCTATCTGTTGCTAAGCAACAGAAATGGATGGTTTGATTAATTAAAAAAGGAGAAAATGAAAAGCGTTGCAAGAAAAATCGAATAAATTGTAATCATTGAGTACCAAAAACAAATTTTAAAATAGTAAAATATACAGTATTCTTCCTTGTATACTTAAGACTATTTTACAATAAGCTATCTCCATAGCAACAGCAAATTTTCCTTAGCAACGAAGCATTGAAAGTTATTTATAGCACATATTCATCTAAGTTTTTAAAAGATTATCTGATTCTTATTGTTGAATTGCTATTGCCCAGAATCGACATTGTTAAACTGGTTTTTAAAAAGTATGTTTTTAAGTTAATTCATCCATAGCAACAGAACTTGTCTACATAGCAACAAATGTATTTTATAAAGAATCAGTATGTAGCAATTCCTCAACAAAAATCTTTGTCTTTAAAGGATGTTTACTAGGCAAAAACATTCTACTAATGGGAATGAATATTACTTACTTGAGTTGTGACTGTGGTATTTTTTTCACTTTGAAATAGTAAATCAGTATGTAGCAATTCCTCAACAAAAGTTGAGCAATAACCTTTTTTTCATGCTAGTGGCTTATTGAGACTCTAGAGTCTTAAACTTTCTTGCAAATTCCTGAAAATTTTGCATCATGACTAATATTTGCAACGAAAACTGGATAGTCTAACTTCTGATAAGTTTAAAAAAAAACAGTAATCTCGTATTAAAAAAAAAGATTTTTGATAAGGTCTACTTGTGACAATGCAGACCTGGTGAGGTATTGGTTGACCGAGGCCGAAGGCTGAGGTTAATCAGTTCCTGACAAAGTCCGTATAGTAACAAGTAGACCTAATTCAAAAGTCAATAACTGTATTTTAAAGTATCAGGGTTTTTTTTGTTTTTTGTTTTTTGTTTTTTTGTTTTTTGTTTTTTTTTTGTTTGTTTGTTTTTTTTTTTTTTTTTTTTTTTTTTTACATTTTTCACAATCCACCTATTTTCTTCATCAAATATATTATTATTATATTATTATATATATTAACGCCCATAATATACTTAGTATTTTGTTTTGCAGCAAGATATCATAATTATTTTTCAACAGTTTAAACTGTTCAACAAAGGTGGAAAATAGTATATTAAAACTATAAATATTCAAACCATTTACTTATAAGGAGTTTAGACGGTTCGGTACTGTGCGCAATTTGACTGGCAGATAAAAATGTAAGCAAAGCTATCAAGATTGGCTAAGACAGAAAACCTAAATAAACAAACTCTTTGTAGCGAGACTTCTGTCTCCTGAATTACAAGATAAAAAAAACTTATTTTGATGAGATTACTACATATGTAATAAGTTATAATGAGATACTAACTCATGAACAAGATAGCTAATTTATTAAAAAAAAAAAAGACTAACTCGTTGAAACGTTTTAACAAGATAAACTCGTTGTAACGAGACTACTAACTCCTGGAGAATGAGATTACAAAATTATTCTAATATGATACCAACTCGTTATAAAAGCAAGATAGGAAATTCATTTTATTGGGGTAACTAATTTATTATTTAAGGAATGAATTTAATAGCTACTCCAGTTATACTGTACGGTATAACCTGCGTTGGGACAGTTTCCGCTTTATAAACCGTGAAGCGGTTAATAAAAAAGCGTAAACTGTTCCAACCCAGGTTATACCAGTGTAACTTGGGCAGCTATTAATTAAATTCATTTCTTATAATTTAATTTTCCAATTAAGGCAATTTTCCTTAAGAAATGTCTTCAAATTAAGCATATTTTAAAAGTACGTCAAGCCAAATAATACGTTTTTGGCGAAGGTCATTGTGACGTAGGCAACATATGTTATATGGTATAAACTACATCTTTTATTCTATCAAATGACGTGTTACAACCAGAATTAAATTATTACGAGATAACTAACTCTCGATTTTTATTATTTACTAGTCTAGTTATGACAGGATATTTACATGTAATAACTAAAAAATATTTTTGATATAACGAGCTAAATGAAAAAATAAAAGAAATACACTGAAAAATAGTGTTAGTCTTGTTTCATGAAATAAACAATTAAAGTTTGTGCTTTGACTGTAATCTAAGCTTGTTTTATATCTCCAAGTTGGTTCAATACACAAGAGATGCTCTAGGTACGAATAATTTCTAAAAGGAGGCAGGCTACTGACAAACAATTTGATGAAATAAGAATATCAACAGTCTTGTTTATAGTCATAATTTTACAAGTTCTATGGTCGATACAATGACTTTGTCAACAAATGCAATCTATCTTTGAATTGTATGCTGACTGAACCCATTAATAGTAATTTTTTATTGATTATATCCTTAATATTCCTTTGTATAAATATGATCTCCTGTTATGGCGCCTCTATTCTCCCGGGTGGTCATGATTTGAAAAAATTTAAATCTACATTACCTGAGGGTGCTTTTATATTTTTATGACCAATCATGGCTTGTTGGTCTTGTGAATAATTTAAGATTTCCCCTTTGTCTTCATATTTAAAACTTTGATCGCCCATTGTGGCCCCGCCCTACCCCCGGAGTTATGATTTGAACAAGATTTTTTTTTTAAATGATGCCATTAATTTTTCACAAAATCATCATCGTAATATCCCTTTGGAAGAAGGCGTGTCCCTTCATCTGAACAAACTTGAATCCCCTTTACTCAAGGATACTTTGTGGCTAGTTTGGTTGAAATTGGTCCAGTGGTTCTTGAGAGGTAGATGAAAATGTGAAGAGTTTACAATAACAACGACGACAGACGTCGGACTCTTTTTGATCAGAAAAGCTCACTTGAGCCTTCGCTCAGGTTAGCTAAAAATCCTTAGCATGACAAACTTCAAATTGGTTCCCCCAAGAAAAAGGATGATCGTTGTTGATTCTGTCAAAGTCAAGGGTAAAAGAAAAATAACCCAGACAGGATTTTTTTTCCTTTCCAGCCAGTGATCTTGAGCTTGGAGGAATGATCTTTATTCAATATGAGGACACACCGTCGGATCATTAGCAAGCTCTGTTTCAAGTAAAGCTACAAGTGAAACACCATTACAAAGTTGGAGTTCAGACAAGCATTTAATATGTTTTCGTCAGTGACCTTGAACTTGCCAAAACCTACATGGGTCAGGGTCATGAATTACCCACGGTCAAAAGCATTCTCTGTACAATGTATAAGCCTATTAATTCTCAATTACAAAGTTAAAGGACAAACCAGAATTTTATACTTTCTGTAAGTGAACTTGAACTTGCGCGCAAAAATGGGTTTGGGTTAAGGTCGGCTTTACTCTTAAGTCAAAAGCAATCTTTGTACCAAGTATGAGCTTCCAGTAATTCTCCATTATATAGTTTTTCTGCCACTGAATACGTACTTGCCGGAATGACCTAGGGTCAAGGTCAACAAACACTCTCTGATCATCAGCAAATTTTATTTCATGTATGAGCTTCCAGAGATTCGCCGTTACAAAATCACTTATTACCCAGATAATTATAAAAAATTTCACCAAATGACCTTGAACTAATCAAAATGGCTTTGGGTCAAGGTCTTAACACACTTAGGTCAACAAAGCTATTACTGTACTAAGTATGAGCATCCAATGATTCCCCGTTACAAAGTTTTGGACCGGGCAACAACTTTTATACACTTTTTATGCCAGTGACCTTGAACATGCTGGCATGACCTTGTGTCGAGGGCATGGCACCTCCTTGGGTCATAAGCAATCTCTGTACAAAGTATGAGCTTCCAGTGTTTTTCAAGTTATAGCGAGAAGATTGCATGGACGGAAGGACACACAGTAAAGGGATTTCTGTATAACACACACCCCAACCCCCCAACTCCCCAAGCCCCAAACTTTGTTTATGTGGGATATTTGAATATTTGTTACAATTTCAATAGCATAAGAAGATTCAACAAAAAAGTAGAAGAGCCAGTCAGACTGCGCAAATTCAGTTTTACTGCAAAAATGTAATAGAAATATTTTTAAAAAATTTTATGAATACATGTTTGTGCTAAATATTACTTTCCTTGCCTTGTTGCTAAAGAAAATTTTCTGTTGCCATGGGAGATGGAATTTTTTTTAATTGCATTTAGTTTCCAATTTTCGATGCAAATATTGGTCATGATGCAAAATTTTCAGGAATTTACAAGAAATTTTAAGACTCTCAAGTCTC